AAAACAACTTTGTAAAGACAAAACCAGCCTCGGGATTTGTGTGGGAAATATCAAACATGCTCCATGCTGGAGAATTCAGAGACTCCCACACTGCTGAAGGCCTGCAGAAGACTATTCAGTAAAAGACAAATCTTCCAAGAAGCTGAACTTAATTAGTCAGAGGTTGTCTAAAATCAGCACTTGAATTATTCCCCATCCCTCACCAAGCTAAGCACAGGTTCCTCCCCTGTGAATAAGCTCTTCTGAAAGTAAGGAGGTTTTCAGCCCACAAGCTATATTTCCAAACACAAACATGCACGCATGCAAACAGTGTTGCCAAAGAACAAAAAACCGGCTTAGATTTTTCTTCTGAGATTAACCCTGTGCCCTTACCTAAGTAAAGGAGGAAAAAAGTTCTATGTGTTTTTTTCAGGGTCACTGAGAAGTCATTTAGGTCTAAGCAATTCTTCCTTTATCATATACTTTCTTTTTTTTTTTTTTTTAAAGATTTTATTTATTTGAGAGAGAGAGCATGAGCGGGGGAGGGTCAGAGGGAGAAGCAGACTCCCCGCTGAGCAGGGAGCCTGATGTGGGACTCGATCCCGGGACTCCAGGATCATGACCTGAGCTGAAGGCAGTCGCTTAACCAACTGAGCCACCCAGGCGCCCTACCATATACTTGCAACTGTTACTTTTTTTTTTTTCTCCAAATAAGAGGTGTTTCTTGTGGGCTTACTAAAAAGCTATAGGACTCTAATCAGAAATAACATTAATATAAATGGTCTCTACCACTAAATAGGAAAATCAGTTTTGCCTTTTAAATTTGATTTCTTTTTTAATCATTTAATTAGAACATAGTTCTAAAGCCCGCATTCATCTAATGCTTTCAAATCTATTTTTGTATTCTATTTGGAGAGACAAATCTGATATTATTATTTGTATTATCATGCTGACTCTCATAAAAGGCTCATTAATATATTTGGAATGACTAAGGCAGGCAGGCCACCTGTGATTCTTATTTCCCAAAAAGCAACCCATCCTCTAACCCCGCAAGAGCTGACATTACTCATGCTGTGGGGAAATAAGTAACAAATATGACTCTCCCTAAAATACTTTCTAACGTGTGTTTTCTTGAGATAAAGGGGAATAACGTCACTGCAAAAACTTGTCTACAGCTGAACATGGGATGTGGTCTACTTTGATCTGGGGGCTGTTTAATCAGGGGGCCGGCTGAGAGATGCTTTCAAACTAAGCTAGCCCGAATGAATTTAGTGGTCCTGAGATCATTTCTGTCCTTCCTTTTGTCCCTCACACAACATTAGGGTTTCCCAATGTTCTGACATCTACTTGGAGCTGGTGCAGTGACAGGGTTCAGCCATGCCAGCAATCCACACAATCTCGTATCCTACACTCAGTGAACCTGTTCCCAGCCCACCTTTCACGTTGGGGCCCATTCCAACTTAGCAGAACTGACCAGTGTACAAAACTTGCACTAGAGAAAAATATTAAAAATATGACTTAAACATTTACTTTTGGGGCAGCAAAGGGATAGAAACTTATACCAAATTTTTAAAAATAGAGATGTTAATGGTCTAAAGATGTTACAGTAACTAAAACTGCAAATAGGCTAGTACCCCCAGGCCATTTTGGAGAAACCTTTAAGACTATTCCAAACTACAAGAAATGCTTACCTTGCTGAAATGGGAAGCAGTTCTGTCCCCACCGACCTATGAAAGTCAAGGGCCTAAGTCGGGCTACTTCACAAGTATCCCTTCCAAGTTCCAGCTTTTGTTTTTCTGGGACATTCGACTTCTCCAAAGAAATTGAAAACAAGAGGCCTAAATAGTGCTTTTTAATATATCCTTCAACATATAACACAGTGTAATTATAGGCAACTTGATAAACAACACGAATTAAATGGCAGGAAAAAAGTATCATTCCAAGGTCCACTGGCTTTGCATTTGTCTCATGGATCAATCTCTAAAGTTCTGTTTGCCTCTTGGTTAATGTGCTCATGTTCCAGTATACAGAGTAAGCTCTTCGGATCCCAGAAAGTTTCTAAAACTGAGTAAAACTGCTTCCACCAAATGCTTTTGAAAAATTCTTAATTTTTGTTTTCTTTCTTAAGAGCCCAACTTCACTGTAGCTATGGTGCTCACTCCAACCAGGATATAGTCTCCTTCTCTCAAATGTACAACTTACTGGGGCTGACTTCTCATCTGCTAGGAAAAAGAGAAAACACCAACAAGTACGTATCTGTGAAGACAGGCCTCCTGGCCTGTGCTTCCACGTGCACCCCTGATATTAATTCTGGCCCCCACAAAGACAGCTACACCTGAAGCTGGCCAATCCTGCCTCGTAGCCCACTCCCAAGGGCTGTCTCAGTGCAGGAACAGTGGTGTCCGCACACCAGCAGCATCGGCTTCACCTGGGAACTTGTTTGAAATGCACATTCTCGAGCCCCATCCCAGAACCAGGGAATCAAAAACTCTGGGGGTGGGGCCCAGTTGCCCAGGTGACCAATGCCCTCAAGTCTGACCAATGTTCGTCCACTCAGAACCTGCAGGTGGCAGTAAAGGCCGGCTAGAAGGACAGGAGCAGGAAGCTCAAGTTGTGTTACAGAACCTGCCTGCCTGACAACAGGGTCCTGAACAGCCGGCTCAGCCTTCTGCAGTAAGTCCAAAGGTCATAGGACATCTCAGCTTTGAACAGGAATTGGACTGAAATTCTCACAGCCCAGCAGTAAACACATTAAACCTACAATTTTCAGGGATGCAATCGATACTCAATTATTTTGAAGGTTTTTGTGTTTAATACAGTGAGGATACAAACACACCTCAAGAATGAAAATGTAGGGGCACCTGGGTGGCTCAGTCGTTAAGTGTCTACGTTCGGCTCAGGTCATGATCCCAGGGTCCTGGGATCGAGCCCCGCATCGGGCTCCCTGCTCAGCGGAAAGCCTGCTTCTCCCTCTCCCGCTCCCCCTGCTTGTGTTCCCTCTCTCACTGTCTCTCTGTCAAATAATAAATAAATAAAAATCTTTAAAAAAAAAAAAAAAAGAATGAAAATGTCAATACCGGTTAAACAGAACAAAATAAGAAACTCAAATTATCATCAGCCCTTGTGTGTACCTGAATCATAACAAGGCCCTTCATTCTGAAAGAATGATTAGAGTTCCTACCCTCAAAATCTCATCGAATTGATGTGATAAAGGCAAGAAGAGGATTTTTCTAACGTAAAGCATGTATCCACATAGGCCTTTGCTAGATTCTGCCAAAACCCTGAATTTTGCTTTAATGGTTTTAGTATACAAACATCTGTAGTGAGGATGTGGACCAATGGGAACTCTCATACACTGCAGGTGGGAGTATAAATCGGTATAACCACTTCGGAAAACCGGTTAGCAGCATCTACTAAAGCTGAACATACAGGTACCCAGAACCAGCAATTCCACTCCTGGGTATACACCTCAGGGAAATGAGTGCCTCTGTCTACCAAAAGCCTCATAAAACAATGTTCTTAGAAGTGTAACTCAAAATAGTTACAAACTGGAAACAATCCAAATGCCCACCCACAGTGGAGGAAATAAACATGGATGTTCATACAATAAAGTATACACAGCAATGAAAACACAAACCAACCGATAAACGAAACCACTGCTACACACAATATGGATGAATTTCACAGATATAATGCTGAAAGAAGCCAGACCTAAAGGAGTACACACTTATCCAAACAGGCAAAACAAATTTCTAGAGACAGAGGTTATCATAAAGGTTACTAAAGCTATCTAGCAACAGACATGAGCTTGCTGAAAAAGTTCTACACCTTGACTTGGGGGATCATTACAGGGGTGTATACATATGTATACATAATGAAAATACAGGGGTGTATTCATTGAATTGCACTTAAATTTGTATACTGTATGTTATACCTCTTTATAAAGGAAGAACAAGTTAAACATACACACAAAAATCATTCTTGACGGACTGTCACACAGTAATTTTCAATATTCATTATAAAAGTCGAGGTTGCTGGGTAACTATAACATCATCAGAGTATTATTTGCTGTAAAAATAATGCATTTGCTGAGTTAAATCTAAAAATTAAATACAGTGAGCAAAGGATTTTCCTTATTTCCAGTGTTTTGCCATCACATCAATGTATCATCCTTTAAGAGGGCCAAACTTTTGACTTGCACTCCCTAGTCCCAAACTCCTTTTTACCTGACACTTACTGGAGCCCATCGTGTGGAAACTGACTATCCATTATTCCAAGCTCCTGCAGACCCTGGATGGCTCCTCATCACCCAGGGGGAGGCTGAAAAGGCTTGGCGCCAGCATTCCTGTCATGATCTACCCACCTGAATTTCTTTGAACCACCTTTGTCCTAACCCCTATCACCATCTGGCTTCCCTCCTGCATACCCACCCAAGGCCTGGCCCAGGGCTGGGGCCCTGTTAAAAAAGTGCAGTGTCCGAGCTTTTTCCGGGTCCACTGGATCCGATCCAGTGGGAAGCTAGAGGCGGCCACCTGCTGAGCGCGGAGAACGGGGGACAGCAAACTGCACCCTAAAGCAGACACTCCAGGGCCCCACAGCGTGCAGCGAGACCCTGAGCCCATGTCGTTTCCCGCAGGCCTGGGCCACTCCTGCGGCCCATCCCAGCATAGGCAATACGCTCGGTCCGTTTCTGCGCTTTCGGATTTGGGTTGCGAAAACGGCAGCTAGCTGTAACCAGCGACCAAGATGAGGAGAAACGCTTTGGGAAGGGAATCCCGTCCCGCACCCGCATCCGAGGGGCGCGCAGCACCACTGCCCACGGCGCGTGGCTCCGCGCGGGTAGCGCGACCCGCTGGGGTGCGCGCGTCGGACCGC